AACCCCCCCCCCCCCCCCCCCTGAATGGGGGGGGGGCGGGCGTTAAAGGGCAGACGTGTAGGTATTCCAGGCAGAGGATGATGTACAGGAAGATGAGTGCATTTGGGTAGGACGGCAAGCATTGGTATCGGTGGAGCTTTGCAAAGGGAGACTGCGCGCTGTCATGATGGGGGGCATGTTATGGGGGCGTCTTGTTTTAGAAGTGAATGAGACCTTTTTGTGTGGTTCAACCTCTTTCAGTGACCGTTGTCGTCTTGTCTGGCGACTTGTGGGTGGTCGAAAAACTTGTGGATATATGCTCAGTCGCCCGTCAAAATACGCCGGAAGATATCGACAGAGTAGCTCAGTTTCTCATTGATTTCGCATCGTCAACGCACGTTCGACTTGCGCCTGCATCTGCGTAGGCCACAGTCGTATAGAGCAATCACGTACGGTCATCTTTGCACTGATTGATTTATCGTATTGCGTTCGCAGGATATCGATCAGATAGGTCATCGGCATTCATTGCCATTCACATAAGGTGAAGATGAAGCCCACACAACCGTGCGCTGCAGATCTGGATGTGTGTGTGTGTGGGGTGTCTCTCAGAGGTTGATTCACTTACACGCAATACGACAGTGAAAACCAGGGGGGGAGGAAGACACAATGCCAATTGGCCTGCTGCCGTTCACTCGCCGCGAGCTCCACCAAAGCTCGCCGTCATCCTCTTCGATCCGCCCTCGGATGCCCGAGACACGACTGGTCGAGGCGGGGATGGTGAAGGTGGCGCCTCTCAGCCTGCACCCCCTACGCGTCGTATTCGCGGGAGGGGTCGCGGTAGAGGAGCGAACGGAGCTTCACGGGGCGCCCGAGGTAGGGGTGGCTTTCTACCCCCGCCGCCGCCCGGCCCACCATCCGGTGACCCGGGAGATGGCAGGTCAGGGGATGGTGACTCGGGCGGCAATGGCCCGCCCCCAAACGGAGGAGGACCTCCTCCTCCCCCAGATCCGCCGTCTGACCCGCCCCATGATGCCCACTGGTTCCGCTCAAGAGGGATTTTCCCGCAGCTTGGGCTTGACTACCTTCGAGGCCTCAGCGCCGAGCAGCGAGATGACCACTTCAAGCTGAGCGTCCGCACTATATCCCGTATGCCCGGGTGTGTCCGGGATGCACTCAAGATGGTGGTTGACACCACCGAGAAGTACGTGAAGAGCGAGGAGGATTCGGATATCGGCTGCCTGACTGCTATCTTTTTACCGACATGCTCCTCTTTCCGATGAATCGCGGTAGGACGGATGGCCGCCGCAAGTGGGGCACCCGATTTCAGCGGTTCTGGGCTGGAGAGTGGCAAGGACTGCTCGACGAGTCCAAGAATCTTGCTCAGCAGGGTCGCCACGTATTCGCTCCACATGGCGATGGACCAGTGAGAGACGTGCGTGAACCATCATGGGAGGAGATCAAGCTGCAAGCGACGGAGCGACTGGTGAAGCAGGGGGAGCTGTCACGTGCGGCAAGGCGGCTGACGGCTGCTAAAGTCGCTCCAGCGACAGCTGCAACACTCCAGCAGCTCAAAGACCTACACCCTGCTGCCCCGTCGCCTACCAAGCCGCAGCCCCAGCACAGCCCGGATGGGCTGCCCACGCTTCTCACTGTCTCAAACAGGGGTTTATCGGCTGCCCTCAAGACGGCGCCATGAGAATTCGCAGCTGGCCCTACAGGTTGGCGGTACGAGCACCTGCGTTCTTGCATGGCAGAGGGTGACGCAACGGCGCAAGACCAGACCGTCGCCCTACCCTCTCTTGTCAATCGGATGCTCCGCTTGAGATATGCCGGACAGCTGCACTAAGACTCCTTCGGCCGCCCGCCTTTTTGCTTTGATGAAAGACAACGGACGGGTCCTGCCGATCGCTGTAGGTGATGTGCTTTAAAGATGGGTGACGAAGGCGGTTTGTATCGAGAGCAAACTTGCCTTCAGGGAGGACTTTTCACCCCTGCAGTTTGCGGTCGGTACGTCGGCAGGCGGAGAAA